CCCCAAAACCCCAAAACCCCATCAGTTTAAAATTACTTGAAATAGATAAGAGTAATTAATATATAGCAATAATAAAATGAGAAAAACTTTTGAATTAATAGTTGCTTAAAGATCCAGAGCTTTATTAGTAATTTAGTAATAATAAAAAAAGATGTAATTCATCTCAGATGCCATGGTAAGCCTCTCATCGAAGGCTGACTCCTTCAAAAATATCAATCAAATAGTTAAAAGTCATGGATATCCTTTTGAAAAGCATCATTATGAAACTAAAGACGGAAACATCAATATGGTTATCAGAATATCTGGTAAATAAAATATTATAAAATCTTATTTAACTATTTGACAGGCGAGAAAGGCACAGATAGTTTAAAAAATATTGAGAACAATGGACCTAAGAAATCAGTAGTAATCTTGTAGCATGGTCTAAATTGTTCAGCTACAGACTGGATTTTGAATAGTCACAATTCTCTAGCATTCATACTGGCTGATAATGGATATGATGTTTGGATTAATAATTCTAGAGGCAATAGGTACAGCAGAAATCATGTAACACTCGATCCAGACCATGATAAAAAACAGTATTGGGATTATTCATTTGAAGAGATGGCTAAATTTGACTAGCCAGCTTTATTTGATTTTGTCTTGAACAAGACTGGAGCTAAAAATGTTTCATATGTTGGACACAGTTAAGGAACAACTCAGATGTTTTGCGCATTATCAAATAATATGGACTACTTTAGGAGTAGATTAAATTTATTTGTAGCTTTGGCTCCAGTCGTTAAACTTGACAATTGCTCAAATAGTCTTATCAAACTTGTCAAAGATAGCAAAACGATTGAATAAATGATGGTAAAATACGGATTATATGAACTAACACCTTTGAAATCTAATAAGAAATCTGTTGCCTATCTTCATAGATTATTGCCTTCAATTAGTGATCTAGGCATAAAATTACTTAGTGATGAAGATACTTCTGAGATTAATCCTAAGAGTATAGAGGCATTTATGGCTCATTATCCTTCTGGAACCTCACTCAAGACTCTGCTTCATTTCAAGTAACTAATGAATAGAAGAGAGTTTAGACATTTTGATTATGGTAAAGAAGAAAATCTAAAGAGGTATGGCTAAGAGGATGCTCCTATGATACCCTTAGAAAATATCGATGATTTCCCAGTCGCATTAATTGCAGGAACTGAGGATAAACTCGCTGATATAGAGGATGTTAGATGGTTAAGAGAATAAATGGCTAAATAGGGTTCACTGATTTTTTACGAAGAACATAAAATTGGACATTTGGCTTTCCTAATACCTAAAAATTTAATAGTTTATCAGCAAGTAGTAAATCTATTAAAGACTTTTAATCCAATTTATGTTCCAGCAAAAGAAGGAAAATTATTTAAGTAAAGTTCCAGCTTGGCTGCTGATGATGAGATTATTGCTTAAGTACAATAGGTGCAATAATAAATAGATTAAAAGTAGATTTTAATTGAGGATAATTTTGCGAAACTCAAGACCTTTTGATCAAATAAATAACTATTAAATAAAGGATATTTATAATTAATTACATAAATACAAAAAACAAACAGATCATTTAAATATTTAAAATCCTTTTATTATTCTCACTTTAAGAATCTATTCTTTATCTAT